ACTGCGAGCACGACATGAGCCGCTCGTTCTTCAGGTGCAGACCCGCTCTGACCAGAGCTGACTTCGGCGTCGGAACGCATAGAGCCGTCGGATCCGATGACTGGGGTTTCGGTGCCATCGCTCACAAGAGACACGCGTTTGGGATGTGTTTGGGATGTTCTGCCGGTGATCGCGAAGACACAACCAATGGGTGAGTGTGTGCTGACCGATGAGTCGAGTGCTGACACCGCCGATGGAGTGGTGACGCAGTTGTGTGGACACAAAAGTGTGGATCAAATGAACAGATAATGGAGTTTTCAATAGACAGACGATTGCTTTGAATGGGATTTCCGTAACGAATGACTCGTCCGTTGAATCGGTTCAACAGTTGTCTGGAAATTGGAATTCGAATTCAAATCGCGTTTCAAAAAGTTTCGAACGAATCGATGAATGCGACGACAATTGGCGCCAAAACTGCGTTCGAATCGCTATTGAAGTCACAGTCGAGAGACTGAGTGCGCACTCTATGAGCGCTCGACTCTATGTTCGGCGTTATTGTTGTGCCGAACGTTCGGTACGTTTTGTACTCATTGTTAGCAAAGAGTATGGCATAAAAAGGGCACAAATGGCGACACATATAGCGATTGTATGTGTTTTCCAATGCAATGAATGCCACAGTGTTTACAGTGTTTGCGATTTGCAGTCATATTCAGTGATCGGATGACAACAACAGACCATTGATTCAGTCATTCAGTCATTCATCGGATGTTTAGTTGAATACAAGACTCGACACAAAGCGAGAGCCGATTGACAGCCACTCGAGACTCACGACATGTCGGACAGCGAAGAGTCCAACAGAGACTCAGACAATGAGGTAATGCTTTGGGCGACCATTGAATCCATTGAATGCATTGACGGATGTGTTGACACATTTGTGTCCACTCTATAGGCCGAAGAGGACAACAGAGAGCCCGAAGTGGCGGACGAAGAGGAGCCGGAAGGCGAGGACTTGGATGCGGAGGAGGAGTACTCCGAGGACTCGGACGAGGATGAGGTGCGCGGCGGCGGCCGACGGCGTGGGAAGCGGTCGAAGCCACGCCACGGAGGCTTCATCTTAGACGAGGCGGAAGTGGACGACGAGATCGAAGACGACGAGGAGTGGGAAGACGGCGCCGACGAGATAATCGAGAAGAACAAACACTTGGAGGACTCGGCCCGCGATCAAGAGGGACACCGAAGGATTCACATGATGTGGAACTCGCAGAAGGAGGACGAGATCGAGGACTACTATCGGCGCAAATACGCCGAGACGTCGGCCGCCGAGAAGGGCTACGACGGCGACGTCGATCTGCCCGACGATATCACACAACAGGCACTGATGCCCGGCGTTAAGGATCCCAACCTATGGATGATTAAGTGCA